CAAAAATATAAACACAAAGAGAAGAGCTCATTTGAGCTACTCTGTGACATGTTCCAGACCCATGTCTGTTTCCTTGGATCTTCTTCAAGGCTCTGATGCCAAGGAGCAGTGGAGTGGATCGTGACCTTCTGTACAAATAATTCTATCTTGAGGGGGTTTAAATTGATTTTTTACATCTTTACAAAATCCAAAAGGGTCCCCTATAACAAACTCTTGAGAGTGGTGTTGTGGTGCTGACACCACACAGTAGAAAAGAGAAGATTTTGAGGACAACTAAAATGATAATGTGAAGTATGAGAAAGGATGTGAAAATCAGTGCTTTAAAACTATGCGAAGAAGGCAATCTATAGTCTAATCTTTATGAAAAAGGATGATGAGAAATAAAACTTAAGTCCTATTTGCATCAAAGATATTTTCAGATTTTGACAAACTGCTTTGATAATTCACACACTCAAAAACTCAAGAAAATACAATTTTAAGTTTACTTGAAGGAGAACATACAGCAATTTACTGAATCCTCATCACTTCCGTCCAGGCAGTCATCATCGCCATCACATTTCCACCGAGCTTGGATACAGTATCTGTTTTTGCAGCGAAATTCTCCAGCTTTACATATGTGAGCTAATACTTCTCCAGGATTAACTAGAGTAAAAAAAAAAAAAATCCAAGGTATATGAACAATGCTAGCTTATTCAATCCATTAAAAGTAAATTTTGTGGAGTTTTGTTTGTTTGTTTTAGATTCCACATACAAGTGAGATCTTGCACTATGTATCTTTGGCTTATCTCACTGAGCATAATGTCATCCGTGTTCACCCAAGTTGTGAACATGACAAAATTTCCATTTTTTGTTGTTTACAGGCTGAACAATATTCCACTATATATGAGGATATATTTCTAAGTCAAATATATAGAGAATAAAACAGTGGTTACTAGGGGATGGAGGTAGAGAGGAAAAAAGGAGATGCTGGCCAAAGGCATAAAGTTGCAGATATGTAGGATGAATAAATCTGCAAATCTAAGGTACAACATAAAGACTACAGATATAACATTCTATTGTATACTGGAAGTTTGCTGAGAGTAGATTTTAGGTGTTCGTACCATACACATGAAATGGTAATTATAAGAGATGATAATATGTTAATTTGCTTGACTATAGTAACCATTTCACTATACATATCAAAATATCATGTTGTACACCTTAAGTATATACAATAAAAAGTATAACATCCTAAAACTTAGCATACTTTACATCCAAAAACAGGATACCCACATAAAACTTACAAAATAGGTTTCATAACGTTAAATAAAGTTTAATATGATCTAACACAAAAAAAGATAAAGTAAATTTTGTTATGATAACAAAATATTGTCTCATTTCACTTTATGGAAAATACCAAAACAACATTATATTGACCGTCACTTCCGAGAATGAGAAAATTTTGAGTTTTTCTGACAATAATTATTCTACTATGTGACAAGTGATCATATAAATTGGGTCACTGTTGTCATACTCAACTAAAACAGAGTTGAAAGGCCAGGAGGAAAAGCCTTCAGGGTACCAAACTTGCCTCTAGAATATAATTCTTTGCAAACTTGGCTGCTGAAACTTCCTGTTGTAACCTGAAAAAGTTTTATCCAATAGTTGTTGAAACAATCTGCCATGACTCAAAAGCTGGTTTTACCCACCATCGTCACTCATCAGTCAGTTCGCCAGCTCCCCAAAACCTTACTAGCGCCATTAAACTTTGTGGCAAAACAATACACGTTTCTCCTTTTTATAAAACCTCTAACCTCCCCTTTGCCCTTTGCATATACCAAAGACCACCTGGTCTGTGTGTATGACCTAAATTGCAATTATTACTTCACAAGTAAAACATTTTAAACATAGAAATATGTCTCTATATTTTATTTGACTTTAACACCTAAGATTTTGAAAGATTTATTTTAAACAGCTGTCACCAAAATAACATCAACAGCAATAATACAATACCACTTTTTATTTATACTTTGTAGTTTTGCTTTTCAAAGGGCTTTCATTCATAATCTTAGCTGATCATTATTATAACCTATGAGGTAGGTATGACAAAGACTTTTACTACCTCCATCTTATATTTAAGTATACCAAGAACTAATCAAAGTGAAAAGACAATGCAATAGCCCACATCGTTGATGGTTGTATTTACTTTGCTGTTCTACAAAAGGGAGAAAAATTAAGGTCTAGTTAAGGGTTTTAGAAAACATTATGTCATTCAAAACTATCTCTTTGTGTATCAGGATTATATGTAGTGTTTTTTCTCCATATATTCCATGTTCTCTAATCAAATGTTAGGAATTCAGTTAAGCAGGATTTATTTACAAATTGAAAGTGTTACTATTCTTCTGTTCTCCTTGAGTAGATTAGAGTCTAGAAAGAGATAAGAATATGTGTCAATGGTTAAAGTAAATGAATTTTTTCATGGACTCTAAAAGACCTTGAATTATCTCAAACTGGTTTATTGCTGGGAGAAACAAAAGATAATCCTTCCATTCCTCTTCTAATGGTTTTAAATTTTACTTTGGATAAGTGGTTTAGGCTGAAGAACTGTCATAAAATGTTTGTACATCCCAACAATAAGTGATATCAAAAAGAACATATGTGACATTTCCAAAACCATTTACATAGCACTCCTTGAATCTTTGTTTCTTCCCTACAACAAAGAATGGAAGAGGGAACATGACTCTGGAGCCAGGCCTGCAGGAAACTGCTTTAGAGAGTCAGGCAGCAAGGCACGAGACATGTGGGTTTGCGGGACTGGAAAAGAAAAGCTACTACAGTAGATCTATCTCTTATTTAAGGCCAAAAAGAATCACTATAGTGAATGAAATATTCAATCAGAGCAAAGGTAAACCTGTTTCTTTGGTCCCTTCCCAGTTAAGCAAAACCAGATACATGGGCTGACAGTAATATTTCCTCCCTGTTTAATCTTTCTCAGTAATAAAACACTGAAGCAGCAATTTCTCTAAGATGCCATTTCTCTAAAATCACTGGAAAGTAAGAAATCATGTGTGTGTGTGTGTGTGTGTGTGTGTGTGTGCGCGCGCGCGCACGCACAAAAATATAAACACAAAGAGAAGAGCTCATTTGGTCTCCTATTCAAACCTAAGATGCCTTTTACAGTAGCAACTGAGAGTGAGGAAGGAAATCAAAACAAAGTAGAAGTGCACTCTGGGATATGTCTGACTGTCTCTAGGATCAAATTTTTCTCTCAAAATCTCCAGAAATTGACTACCGATAATAAGCAAATATTTCTTATTTTGAGTTTCGAGTCTACTCAGACTCTAAGATCTTAGAGGATAGTATTTTTTTCTTCTTTAGAATCCATGTATCACCCAGCGTATAGCTAGGCACTTAGTGAAGAGTCGTTGGATTAATTTCTACTTTATAATTATTCAACCTAATAGTCAACAACAGTCTATCAGATTTAAAAAAAAAAAAATGTAGTCACACAAGGAACATGACTTAAGATGTGATCAGCTTCCTTCTCAATTTAAAGTTCAGCTTTAAGATTTTCTGTAGTCTAAGTTGGCCTCAAAGAAATATTAATAGTAAGGAAATTCTATTGTTTTGCAGCTTAAGAATTACAAAACACAAGAAATTTTTGGTTCTAGTCTAACAATAGTCCCACTAATTTAAAAAGGTTGGCCTTCACATGGTCATTTGAGCAAGTATGTCTACCCAGTTTTAAGGAACAATCTATATCTGTATACAAAAGGGAAATTGTAGTTGCTTCTGAATAATTATATCTACATTAAAGAACAGCAAGACTTCCAGGGAAAGGCCACTACCTGAGACAATTAAGATAATTTAGATCTACTTAGATTTCACATGTTTTTCAAGTGATATGTAGGTCATTATGCAATCAGTGCAGATACGCAGAATGTCCAAACAGGTTTTAAACATGAATTCAAATATAAATGTATAGTCAATTATTTTTAAAGGATGCTTGTATTAACAAAGATAGCAATTTTTAAAATAATATGAAAACAGTATCTAATGTTTCATTTTCATTTTTCTTAACAATTTACGCATAATTACTTGAAAACCAGTAGAGTTAACCTACTGAGATAATTTCATCTTTTCATATTTTCTGCTTCTGATATTGGTCTATATCAATGTTATTAATGTATATCAATACCACTGGTAATAGCAGTTAGCCATTGCCTACTCCTATAACAGACATAATGAAACACATATAAACGTTTTTGACTTTTAAATTTTTTTCTGCAATTCTTCTAAGACCTGTAACATGTTAGATGAGAGGCATTTCTCCAAGATATTTCTTCATATCATTTATACGCTTTTTTTCTAGACTCTTTTTTCCAAGGATGTTTATATAGCTAAACAGCATTGAAAGATAGAGGTAGTGCCTCCTTCTGGGGTAGAGAACAGTTTTTTTTGTTGTTATTTGACCAGGATAGTAAACGTAATGTCTCCCTTCAGGGCAAATGCTGGGAAGATTTTCTAGCAGACACCTTAAAAGATTGGGGGTTTCTGCCTGACAAAGATGATCGAGGGGAAGAAAAAAAATAAATAAAACAAACAAACAAAAAAAGGATTGGGGGTTTCCTAAGCTCAGGGTTCTTTAATTCTGATACAGACTCACTCTATTTGCAGCATTGCCTCCATATGAATTGGGTTGGGGGTCAAGAAGAAGCAATGTAAACATGAAAATCATGCTGCCTACTGTGCCATGAGTGATAAAATCCTTTGTGTCTCATCCAGGAACTTTGTATCTTCTGTCAGAATCCATGAATCTCTGGCAGGCTATCATGTGAACTTGCAGCTAGGGACCTCAGATCCTTCATCATCACTCTTGACATAATAGTAAAGGTTTTTGTTTTTGGTTTTGTTTTATGTCATTTTTGTTTATTTTTTAGATTACGAGTTCTGATTTCCAAAGTCTCCCAGGGTATAAGGGGCATCACTACTTGATTCTAGCCCTAACCATATCCTTCCAGATGTAATCAGTAGTTAAGTCACAAAGAAACCACATTATGAATGATAACTATCGGGTTTGTTCAGGGTTCCTGATGAGAGAAGTTAGGTTACTTTTGAGTTAAAAATGTTCATTATCAGGGAAACATTTAATGTGATATGTGATAATCTGGATAAGATGGCATCTTAGAAGTTCAAAATGCATGATCTTTTCCCCAGCATTGACCTAACAAGGTGGAACTGAATGGCAAAGTCATCTATCACAGCACCACAGCTAATCGGCAATCTACCAACTTTTGTAAGGCTCACAAAGGTCATGAAGCAAGGATATTTAGCATCACATAAGAGAGGAAATAGCTCCTCTAAAAATTAAGATTAATGTTCTTTGCATACTTTGGAAAAATCTCTGTAGGGGATTTATTTTGTAATTACTTCTTGCAAATCTGATGTCTCCGCTAAAGGAGTTTCTTCAATGTAGAAAGCACAATGTCACATGTGGAAAAGAACAATACCTAGAACAGAACTGGACATAGAGTTTATGCTCAAAATTATTTGTTACCTGACTTACTGGAATTAACAGAGAGATCGCTGTTATTATAGTGAGAGATTCTATCTCTGGGGACAGTATAAATCCTTCAGAAAAACAACCTTATTTCAACTGGATC